CAACACAGTGGCCCCTCTGTGCCTTTAGGGAAATAATCTGGGCTTTCTTGCCATTCTCAAAGACGTGAGTCATCGCTTTTAAACATTTACCTTATTTATTTTTGGTGGTGTAACATGTTGCCTATGTTGTAGGTGTTTCCATATTTTCTTTGGCCATGGAGGCAGAACCCTGTTAAATCATTGCTCAAAGCGTTTTCCTTCCGCGGTCTCGGTAAACATGAATGTGTTATTGAATGCAGCGGTGGCGCTGGCCCTTTGGTGGTTGCCCTGAGTAGAACATATTTTTGGGGGACCCCGTTTCAATTCATTACATCCTTGCTCGAATGGACATTGAGGCAATGATGGTCTCCTGTTTGCAGCCCTGAGCCAGAATGCTCCGTATTTTCTGTTGCAAGGGGCCGACTCTATGTCCACATGACAATCAATGTTGAAAAGTGGTATCTATTATATTTACCCCAGAAAGATGATGGGCTGCATTCGCCCCCCCTCCCAACCAAAATTTGAATTTGCTCGCTCTGCCGCTGAGCCACCGGGTTCGGATGCCTTCGCTCACGAGAATGTTTTACACGGTGATGATGTGCTTCCATCGCAGTCTCGAAGTTTAACATTTATTTTGGGAGCGCCACCCCTGAAAACTGGTTCAGAAACCGCTCGTTACTGAAGCTGGCCACGTCGGAGGATTCGCCCACTGGTTGTCCGGTCCGTCACGGTGCAGTGCTCCAACCACTGCGTCTTCGCTCACCCTTTCACGAAATGATGCAATTAATTTTCGTCATCAACCGCTCCTGTTAATAGTCCATTCTTGAACGTTTGCACCCTCGCTCAGAGACGACGTGATGCGCCGTCGCGTTTGTGTGCTCTGCGTTGTGGGGAAAATCCGTCCCCTCCTCTGTCCACCAAGGCTGTTGGTGTGGACGTCAAAAATTGCACTTTGTCGTTGGCTTCGAATGTCGCAGTGATGGTGGAGGCGGCGTGTTTGAAAGGTCGGCATACACCCGCTGCCCCGTCCGCGTGGTGTTGCCACACACACGCGCACACATTAGCCAAGGGGGACCGTCCGGTCCACGGCTACGCACGAACACAGCCTTGGCTGTTGTGTGGGCTGTCGTCATGCGAAAGTGTAAAATACATGATGCCGGTTGCAACACAACATTGCTACGTACACGCTCGCACACAACGCACGCGCGCGCGCTTTGTGCAAGTGAAAAGGTTTGACCGTCTTGATTTTTTTTTACAAAAGTGGCCGTGTTTTTTTTTTCTTACATCTGTTGTCACCGTAGTGTTTGTGCTTCGCCCGGTGTTTTATCGCCTTGCGAAATACACGTCTCGCAATCTCAACGGGCTCGCTGGTTGGTTAAACAAAGACGTTTTCCTAAAAAAAGCGCTGCAAGCGTAGCCTTGGTTCCATCGCGTAGCGAGCAAAAATACACGACTCTCAATGAGTTCCCACTGGGCTCCCGAAGAGGAAATGTTTGTCACTAGTTTGGTTCGGATACTTTAAAAAAATCTGTATCGGAGCTTCTGTACCAAAGGTGCTGCGGTGTAGCGGTTGGCGCACTGAACTTGCTAACCAGAGGTCGCCGGTTTGATTCGAACCACCCCGCAGCAGGGTATTATTGCCCTACTGATATCTGGCCAGCGTGGAAGAGTAGGCCAAAAATATCCTCAGAGGGACCTTCTTCTTGAGCTCCCTCTAGTGGAGGGCCATCCGCTAACGGTGTCGGGACCGGGCACTTGCAAGGCTGCGCCTTGACCTTCATCGCCTTTTATTAAAGGCAATGGAAATTTAATATGAGGAATTGTCACCATTAGTTTGTCACAATATGTTTAAATAGAAACAGGATCCCCCCCTCTCCCTGCCCCCCATCCCTGCCATGGCAGGTGTGTATATATTTATTTACTTTGTCCAGGAATAAAATTTAAAGGGTGTCCACAAAAAAAATCTGATCCTGTGTGGTTGATTGTGTCCTGTATTTACCGAGCCAGGCACCGCACGAGTATAACGTTACTGCTGTAACGTATGTATGTATGTATGCATGCGTGTTGAACGTCTTTCGCGCCAAACGTAGCCAAGCGTGCTAATCGGATGTGCGGTAATATTTAATTGGCTAAACCAGCTTCGGCTCGAGCAACTCAAGAGCCGCTGCAGCTCTGGTCGCGGCGCGCCCGGTTTGACAGCTGTGCAAACCGAAGTCATCGCCTGCCACTGTTGGCATTGCTAATGGAGCCATAGAAGCTTTGGAGCCACTCCTGACAAGAAAAAAAATCGCCGGGATGTCGCTCCTCCCGAGTGTGAACTCGCCATCAGCGCGGTGATGCTGTGGAAGAGCGCGTGACCGACTTTTAAATCTTTTGGCTCAGCCATCTCGGTTGAAAACTCATTTCTTTGCAAATGCTTTTTTGTTTAGTTTGTGTGTATGTATGTTGAACATATTTCGCATCGTACGTAGCCACATGTGCTAATTGGAGGTACGGGGGAAGGACAACAAACACAAAAAAGAAATTGCTTTTAAATCTAGATTGAAAAGTGCATAGATCCATTGGCTTACTAATATCAGAAGAAAGAGCGTTCCAGGTGGCATCGGAAAGTACGCGATGCAGTGACCGTCTTTGTTCGATGGCTAGCCAAAAGCTGCCGCTGCAAGGATGACGCAGAGGTTCGTGTGATGGTTTATGTTCCTTGACGAGATCAGAAAGGTATTGTGGTGTATTTGTGGACTGCAGTAGCTCCACGTAATTCTTTCGCGGGCCAAAAATTCACGCACGCAGAGCTGTGTTTCCTCTTGTCGTTCCACAACTGGATGAGGGCCTCCCCACACCACGGTCATTTGACCCTCACTTCGTCACGCTGATCGGTGCGGATTCGTGAAGGTGGGCAGCGTAGATGTGGGAGCGTAGAAGTGCAGCACAGCAACAAAAGGGTGCTCTCCATATTCTTGGGTCTTTCGGTAAAGTCACGTAGATAGGTTCAAAGAATATAACAAAATATTACAAAACTACAAAAACTACGACGTTTCTAACGCAACACAAACTTCTGCTCCCTTCCTGCTTTGTCTGTAACCGCTTGTGTTGCGATCAAAACGTCGTAGTTTTTTGTTTGTTATTTTTGTTATTTTCTTTGAACCTATCTACGTGACTTTACCGAAAGACCCAAGAATATGAATTCCTGCAGTCACGAAAGCTTTAAGTCAAGGTGCTCTACATGTTGCCTTGGACATGATTCCAATTCGACTCTCTCCTGCAACGCGTGTGTTATGTAGGTTTCATCTTATTGAGTAAATGTGTCATAGTTTATTTTTCACACAAGATCGTTCCCTTCCCCCCACCGCAGCCTCCTACCCAATATTTTCTCTTTGCACGGCAACGTCTTGAGCTGGGGTCAACTTGAGACACCCTGTGAATTGAAACATTTTCATCATGTCGTAAACACCTTGCGAACCAACAAGCTTCTGCTTCCTTCATGCTTTGTCTGTATCCCAAATGATCTCGAATGTGCCCTCGTCTCACGGGCAGTAGAGTGGGGCTTCGTAAATATTTGGATAAGTGACCACGAGGGCTTGCCAGGTGTTGTAGGTGTGTATGTATGTTGAACTTCTTTCGCACGATGCGTAGCCAACCGCGCGAATCGGAGGTGTGGCGGAAGGACAACAAACTTAACACAAAAATAAGTTCTAAAGAAATTCGTTTACAACCTAGAATTAAAAGTGCATAGCCTCCAGTGGCTTCCTAATATAGGAAGGAAGAGCATTCCAGACGGCCGCAGAAGCGCATCTAAAAGCGCGCAATGCAGTGACCGCCTTTGTTCAATGGCTAGTCAAAAGCTGCCGCTGTTCGCGTCACGGTTTTTATGAGATGAGGCCATGAGATAACAGTGCTGAGTGTTGCACCCCCACAATCCCCAAATGCACGCTGGGTTGTCTCTGGTTTCTCCGCCGACACAAATCCAAACTCTTGTTACTCATAGAATTGTCCCAATGTAGGAGCCTCCTGGGAATTTTTTTTTACACTCTTTGAGACTATCCTGGGTAAATAATTGTAATTTTATTATTTTTAATGACACTACCATCAAACATCGCGTGTGAATTTTTGAACGAGGAGCAGATGTGTTAGAGAACATAAACAGAGCTCATTCTGATCGTTAAGAGAAGTGAGTGGGCTAGGCCAGGATTGTTGACGGTGGAGGCTGCTAGAGGTGAGTACCATCACCTCGAGCAGCAAAGTCCACCGTCAACAGTATGAGTGTGTAAAGCGAGGTGCAATTATTACTTGACAGCCCTTTGATTGGTGGAAACCCACCAGCGTCACTGACATTAACATAACCTGCCCCGCCCATGCTGCTGACACTTGGGCTACGCCCATTTCAAACCTTTATAAACAGTTTCCCTTTAGAGGCTAACCCCCCTTTTCCTGATGACGGCCGCTTTTTATTGCGATCGAAACGTCGTAGTTTTTTGTTATTTTCTTTGAACCTATCTACGTGACTTTACCGAAAGACCCAAATAATATGAAGTGGATTTATTGTCTGATAACGATTACACTTTTTGCAATGCCCAAATAAAGGGTACATGTTAAAGCTTATTTATTCACTTCCATTTATGCAACTTTTAGCTCATTCACCAAGCGGCTCTCAACTTTAATTTAATAATTTTGCCATTTGTTAGCGTTTAGTTCCATGAGTTATCACCAGGCCGAGCGTCTGCTGCCATGTCTTCTACGACGCTTTGAGATGCCTGATGAAAGACGCTCACAAACGGAGTTGTCAACGATTCCTGTGTCTGCTCCGTGAAATATAGAGCCACACTTCAAGGCAGTTGGATGTCGTAGCGCACGGCCTAAAAACATTGGTTTTCCTGACAATGATGGCAACAACAACGATGATTGTGACGATAAGGATGATGGTGAAAATAACGATGATGACGATAACAATGATGACAACAATGATGATGATAGTTCATTAACTTTGCTCCCTTGCAACTCCCCATTCCTCTGCTCCAACTCAGCGAAGCACCCGGAGATCAAGGAGCTCATGGGGCCCGACCCACAGCTCAAGTGGGTGGTGTCCGCAATGGTGCTGGTGCAGGTCCTCATGCTCTACTTGGTGAGCGACCTCTCGTGGAAGTGGGTGATGTTCTGGGCGTATGGCCTAGGCGGCTGCATAAACCACTCGCTCACGCTCGCCATCCATGACATCTCGCACAACGCCGCCTTCGGCAACAAGATGGCCCGCTGGAACCGCCTGTTCGGCATGTTCGCCAACCTGCCCATTGGCGTGCCGTACTCGGTGTCCTTCAAGAAGTACCACATCGACCACCACCGCTACCTGGGTGGTGACGGCCTCGACGTCGACATCCCCACGGACTTCGAGGGTTGGTTCTTCTGCACTCCGGCACGCAAGCTTGTGTGGATCATCCTGCAGCCGCTGCTGTACGCGCTGCGGCCCCTCTACGTCAACCCCAAACCCATGACCCAGATGGAGATGGCGAACGCGCTGGTGCAGTTCGTCTTCGACCTCGTCGTCTACAGCCTGTGGGGCCTCAAGCCCGTGGTGTTCATGGTCGCCGGCACCATCCTCTGCATGGGTCTGCACCCCATCTCCGGCCACTTCATCGCCGAGCACTACATGTTCCTCAAGGGCCACGAGACCGTGTCCTACTATGGGCCGCTCAACTGGATCACCTTCAACGTGGGCTACCACATGGAGCACCACGACTTTCCCAGCATCCCCGGCAGCAAGCTGCCACTCGTAAGTTGTGCGCGCCCCAGCTTGATCGCTGATCGCTCGCTCGGCGGTGGCCAGTGCCGTAGCAAGGGTGAGGCTAGTGGGGCTGGTGGGGTGCCTGGTGACTCAATTTTTTGTCAGGGCAATTGCGGAACACCATTCCGCCGGATGCCAGACATGTCAGAAATATCTGGCTTTAGCTCTGGTAGGGTCCCAAGTGGCTCAAGGAGGCCACGGGATTCGTGAAACAATTCTGGTGTATCTAAACATCAGCTCCAATTGACATGCATGTGAAAGATAAAAACATTAAAAAAGCTCAGAATAATTTGACTTGAAATGATTCGATTACTCTAATTATGTAACACGATGAAAATATCGTTAAGCTATGTAGTTTGTCTGTCACGAAACGTTGGTGGGTGCGTGAGGCACCCAAAAGTCCATTCTGCTTAGGGCCCTGAGTGTTCTAGCACTGGTGCCAGCGTTAGTCTCCATTGTCTTTGGGAGTTCTTGGCTTAAATATTTATGATCATCAGTGCACGATGTCCTCTATGGGTATTGTTAATAAGATCTACATTAACATTATAACCCCTACGGTCAAATACATGCAATGCTTCAAAGTATAGTTTTAAAATCTACCAACACCAAGCAGGAGAGCATTCGACATTTTTTTCACCTACTTAGTGAACTTGATAGCCAACTGGACTAAGAGCATTGCTTAAGGGAGTATGTGGCATATGGCTTGACTAAAATCCCCACGGATTTTTGTCGACTCCATTAAGAATCTGACACATTTAAATTTCGATTTGAAGCTTTCGTGACTGCAGGGATTCATCTTCTTGGTTCTTTCGGTAAAGTCACGTAGAAGGGAAATAATAAAAATAAAACATAATAAAATAATTCTCACGACGTTTTGGCCACAACGCAAGCAGCCGTCCTCAGGTGAAGAACAGGTCTGTCGGAAAAACAGCGTCTGAATGAATTTGTTTTTTTAAACGCTCACGAAATAAACACTGGCGGAATCAGACCACGGAAATCTTTTCTTGCTGCATGCATAGAATGCGCGTTGGGCTCGCGGCTGTGGACTAACTACTCCGACGATTGTCTCCCACCCCCCCCCCCCCCCACTGCCAGGTCAAGAAGATGGCTCCGGAATTCTACGATCACCTGCCGCAGCACACCTCCTGGGTCAAAGTGCTTTGGGACTTTGTGTTCGACGACAATTTCGGCCCATACTCGCGCGTCAAGCGCAACTGCAAGATGGTGAAAGGGGAATGAGTCCTTCCGGTCCAGGCCCCTGGGAACTCGTCTGGACTTGTTTTATTCATCCATTCATCCCTTTAAAAACCCCAGGACCAGTAAAACAACCACAATAAAAAAAAACCTACGTAATAAAAAATGTAACGGACAACCATCAACGAAACGAGGAGCTGCTGTCACGTTTCTTTTTAAAATGAAGATGTAAAAAATAAATAATTGCGCTGGATTACGCGGCGCTTGAAGTGCGTTGACCGGAAGACTCGTCCTAGTCGTGGCCCATGGTGCGATCAACACGTGGCGCCGCGATCGTTCGCTCAGAGCAGCGCTGGCGGTGTTCGGTGCGAGCATTAGGACGTGCCGCTCACCCATGGGTACGTGGCCATGCACCCGTGTGGGTACGTGGGCATGCACCCGTGTGGGTACATGGGCATGCACCCGTGGGTACGTGGGCATGCACCCGTGGGTACGTGGGCATGCACCTGTAGCAACGCGCTGTTTTACCCGTGGGTACACGCCGTTCACCCCTGGGAACGTGGCCATGCACCCGTGGGTACCTGCCGCTGCACAATAACATCGCCTCTCCCTCCTGCTTGGAATTGGGGAGTAGCACATCAGGTCTGGCCAGTACAGTACAATGGCAGACGTTGCGCGCGCTGCGGTCAGGTGGTGCGGGCGACATTTTCTATTCTTTGCCTGCGGCAGCCCCCCCCCTCACCTCGGTTTGCACCACGCTCGCGCGCGATTAAGCTCGTTAACTGAGCGCCGCTGTTGTCCCATCGCACGTCAAGCGTGGGCAGAGGATGTCTCGACTCCGAGAGACGTAAATGGTTCTGCCTGACTTGGGTTATTCTCTTTGAATTTTACAATCGTAGCTTGCGCCAGTTGCGATCGTGTTGTGAGCGAATGCTGGATTTCTTTGGTTAAATTTTTACGTTCATATATTTTTTTTATTTTATCCCCCGGCTGTGTGGAGCTAAGCGTGTGTTGGCAGGGTTTCCTGTCCATCCAGCCCATCGGTGTGTTGCCAGATTGTCCCGTGAATCACTGCCTTGGTTTGCAAGTGCCAGCGATTGCATAAACGACGAATGACGGTACAAAGCACTGGGGCGTTGCAAGAATAACAGGTTTGTCAATCTCTCGTGGGTGTACGTTTACAGGAACGTGTTTGGCGAGATGAGGGTTCCTCCCCTGCGACGTTCAGTCCTGCACTGCAGGCGTGGTCTTGATTGGCCACGTAACGATTCGTCGTAGTCATCAGCCGTGGTCAAATCTACTGCTTGATGAAGGCGGCCTATTCAAGCCACCACCACCCGTCACAAACCCGCAATTTTAAATCCATTGTTTTGCCTATGATACGCGCAATTAATCATGCGCATGGGAATGTTTAAAAAAATAATTTCTGAACATTACGTGATAATAATAATAACAGCGCCATGGTGATGTTTACAATCGGGCTAATGGAGCAAACAAGACTGTGCAGGTAAAAATGAAAAATGTTAGATTTTTTTCCCCGTCTCGTATAGGTGAAACGAGAAATAAATAACCGTTGAATAGATTTCACCGCTCTGAACCTCGACAAATCACCGGGTGTCGAACCGCCATGACTGGCGGATCGGATCGGATCGGACTGCTACAAAATAGCGCAGGCAAAGCGAGAGGGCGGCGCAAAAGAGAGAAAATCGTGCGAAGCGAGACAGCAAAAAATACGAAACAAACCCATCGTGTCAGAAATTGCCACGACCACCAGTCGCGACAATTCGTCGAACCCTCACTGTGTACGTACCAAGAAAATCGCGTTCTAGTGTGTCGTTCGTGACGTCGGATTAAACACCGGGACGTGTATTCTTAGGTTTTTTAGGTAAAGTCACGTAGGTAAAAAAATAAAATTAATAAAAGTAAAATAAAAAATTAAATAAAAATCACGACGTTTCGGAGGCAACACAAGCCTCTGTCTTCAGGTGGAACCGTCACAGCTACGATTGCTGTATCAAGTGAGAGAGATTCCAAGGAAACAACCTTGACGTGTGGCTGTGGCATAACGGGAGTGCGGAGGGGGGGGGTAGAGGTGCCCCTCTCGAGCTGGGCAGGTGTGCGAGGCGCTCACCGCGGAGTCGAGCGGGTCTTGCCATCGCGGAAAGAGGCCCGCGTACCGTGCGTTTTTGTGACCTGCATGCCTGATGGGAGGAACGGCGCGTGACTTCTGACGACGGCGTCTTGCGTATTTTTCTCTTCCCCGCCCCGCGCAAAGGCAGTATTTTTTTGTTATTTTTTAATTGCGATACAGAGAAAGGTGGGCCTTCCTTTCGTCTTGACTTGTCATCCTCCGTGCGGATTACCTTGATGCATTCGTGCAGTGGAATTTGCTGCAAAAACTACACTTTTAAAGATAAGCGAGACAATTAACCAACGCATTGTGTGGAGCTGTAGCTTTCACGCAGCCCGAGTTGCCACCACTTTGGCTGTTTAAATGTAAAAGGAATATAATTGTAAGCCATTCATGTAATTAATCAATATTTATAGGCTGATGATTTTCAGCTTGCATTATACTGAGCTTCCTCTGTAAATGAGTCTCCGTATAATTAATGAAATAACTTTTTTGTAAAAACATTACTTTGTAAAGAAGAATGAGATTTTTACACTTGATTGGGCAGATATTACATAAATGATTGCAACTCCTATTTATTTTGATTTTTTAAGCCAGATGTAATGTATTTCTGTATTTAGTTTGATAGCGTAAAGAGCCTATTTTGTTTTAACATTTCCAAATTTCTGCTTTCCGTGAAAAAAATGAGATGCACTCTACGTTGAAATGATGGCCTCGGGCTCTGACTCAACCTTGCGCATAAACATTTCATCTTTTTTTTTTACAATTCACGCGAATTGTTAATGACATTCAGAAGGAAAGCTGCGAAAAGAAAACGGTCTTTATAGCACTGTTCTAATTAATTACTTCTGTCTCGTACGACCACAATCTTGGCCACTCACCATGAGATGCAGCTTTGTACCATATTTGTATTTCTTCATTTGATCGAAAATGTCTCGTGCATCCGATGCGCACTTGACACTCTTTAAAGTGCAGCCCTTTTTAACAAGCAAATTAACCAGTTATAGAATTATATAGTTAGCAAATTGACGTTTAATGTACAGGCAGCAACATCACAATAATCTTAACACCCAGAGCTTTTCATACCTCCTTAAATTTTATTGCACACCACAGGTTGTTGTGTTTAGCAATCATCAGGCGTGTAAAAACGCATCACGACTTGACATGTATTAAAATCGCAAGATTGGTAAAAGTTGAATGGGGTGGGGTGCGGAGGACTAGAGTCTTGAGATACCCAAGTTTTATAGAGTAGTGAAAACGGCTCGGCTATAATGGTTAAGCTCTCAATCTAATTTACCGTTGGTTGGTAGGGAAGTCCCTTGGCTCAAACACTGAGCTTCACTGTGTGTCCCTTGGGCAGAACCGTCCTTAAGGTACACGGCGAATTGGGGCGACTGCCTCGGGCCCCACACTCTGGGGGGCCCCGTGGTTCGATCTCACGGTGTTGTCAGACAATACTTCTGATTTAGTTTGAAGGCTTGGAGGGGGGCCCGCACGATGGGGTTTGCCCTGGGCCTCACACACACCCACCCCACACCCATGGACGGCCCTGCCCTTGGGTGTACGGAATTTGGAGGCGTGACCATGAAGGTGCGACTCGCATAATTGTTTGAACGGAACGATAGGACCCTCTGAAATGTGTCAAAAATGAATAAAGTTTGTAAAGCGTGTTGGAAACACCGAAAGTCTGAGAAAGCTTATAATGTATACGTAATGGAAACGCGAAAGTGGTGAAGAGTTACCTTTAAATGTATATAATCTGAGAGAGCATTGGGGTGGGAGGTTATTCCCCACTTATTATTAAACGCGAGGGGCATACGATTCCATGAATTTTCACGATTCGGGGATTGAGATTTGATTTTTAATTTTGTCTTAACATTGCCTGGAGAGTTTCGATTTAAAGCTTTCGTGACTACAGGGATTCATCTTCTTGGTTCGTTCGGTAAAGTCACGTAGAAAGGAAATAATAAAATAATTAAAATACAACAGTAATAAATTAATTCTCACGATGTTTCGGCCACAACGCAAGCAGCCGTCCTCAGGTGAAGAACAGGACGGCTGCTTGCGTTGTGGCCGAAACGTCGTGAGAATTATTTTATTACGTTTTATTTTTATTATTTTATTATTTCCCTTCTACGTAACTTTACCGAAAGAACCAAGAAGATTGCCTGGAGAGGTTACACGACCAAATTACCATCCAATATTCAACGAATGGCCCTGACATGTCGATGGCGACACGGGCAATTTGATGCCCGAATCGTGAGCGTGAAAAAAGATTCCGATGCCAATCGATGAATCCACGCATTGTTACACCGCCTGTTAATACAGGGCGATCCGTTTATAGACACCCTACTAAGTTCTAACGCTGCCTTACTAACTTCTCAACGGCCGTTTGAATGGTGCACATGAAGCAGGGAGGATGTTAAAATATTCCATTGCGTCGTATTGCGATTTGTTGTTAGACGTGTTGGCACAACCACAGGCCAACATTGGCCCAACTTTGCACGTTTACTGGGTAGAGGCTTTGAAATAAATAACGTGCTTTCTTCTGTAACCCCGCCCCCACCCCCCATTTTAGTGGAGTATCTATAGATGGATCACTGTGTGTAAGTAAGCACGTTGGATTTTAATCGGCGTGTGGTTTAGGGGGGGGGGTCTCTTCAAGTCGTGATATTTTCGTGTGTTTGGAGTCGCACCCGAGTCTCGGCCACTGGTATGGCACCGTGGCAGTCTCCCGCGAGTCTACAGATGCTGTTGCTTAATTGACGTGTGCAAAGCGCACAACAGTCGACGGGACCACTTTAACTTTAATAATAATTATAATGAAAAAATAATAATGAAATAATAAAATGCAATTGTACATTTGACATCGCCGCATTAGAGCTGCTGCTGTTGCTGTTGTTTGACGATTATTACTATACACTTGGAAAAATATGAATGTGCACGATTCTAAATTTCAATAAAATAAATGTGAGCTTGTATAACAACAAAAACACCGTCGTACTTGCGGGTCTCATTTTAAGTGTGACACCCAATGTCCGAATTTAGTGCAAATGTTTTTCTTGTCAAAAGACCGGTTCTGTCTTTTTGACATATATCTATATATATAAAATCGTTCATGTCTGTCTGTCTGTGTGTGTGTGTGTGGACTTTGGCCCATACGCACTTTCATTGGACGGCGGTTGCCCCTGGCAACGGCTAGCCACGCCTTCGCCGCTTTCATTGGACCTGGCAACGGCTAGCCACGCCTTTGCCAAGGGCTGCAGTTTCATTGGACGGCGGTTGCCCCTGCCAACGGCTAGCCACGCCTTCGCCACTTTCATAAGCTCCGTATTTAATTAAATAATAGCCATTACACAGTATTGTTGGAGCGCTAGGGGGGGGGGAAGGAACGCCACCCGTACCCTGCCTCTTCCAAGCCGACAATTTTAGGCGAGGCCGCAGGCTTTGCACGCTACTAGGCCTCGACACCCACCACGCCACTCTGAGGTAAATTCATCAAAGTTTTTTCCTACTCTTCACTACACCCCTACCACAATGTGTGCTATTAATATTACTTTTAAACCCAACGCGCCAACAATCGATTACTTTAATGTTCACTGTACAAATACTCATTAAGCTGGGTGAGCGTACTGCCAGTCTATCATGTACACTGTAGCCTGCTTATTAAGCTTGGTGAGCGTACTGCCACTCTATCATGTACACTCTAGCCTGCTTATGAAGCTGAGTGCGTGTACTGGCAGTCTATAATGTGGACTCTTGCCTGGTTATTATAATCGATTCTTTATATGTTCTTTGTACAAACAGTCATTAAGCTGCTTGAGCGACCCCAGTTCGATTCCAACTCACGCCCACCACCGCTGACGATTATTTGAAACGGACCTGGCCCTCCCCTAGGTCCACTCAGCCTCAAAAGCGTAACTGCTGTCGTGTGTGAACATCGTCACTGGGGAGACAAAGGCGGCGGGGCATCGTGGATCCAAGTCCCGGGCGAAGCCGGGTCATGTGTATGTGTGTTTGTGTTTATGTGTATGTCTGTGTGTCTCTATGTATGTGTGTATGTATGTGTATGTATGTGTTTGTGTGTATGTGTGTGTGTATGTATGTGGGTTTTTTTTATGTCTTTATGTGTATGTCTGCGTGTCTCTATGTATGTGTGTATGTACGTGTGTGCATGTGTTTGTGTGTATGTATGTGTGTGTCTATGTATGTGTGTGTCTATGTATGTGTGTGTATGTGTGTGTATGTATGTGTGTTATGTGTCTGTCTGTGTCTGCATGTATGTGTGTGTGTATTGTGTATGTGTTTGTGTGCATGTATGTGTGTGTTTGTGTGTATGTGTATGTCTGTGTGTATGTGTTTGTGTGTATGTGTGTGTATGTATGTGTGTGTATGTGTTTGTATGTGTTTGTGTGTTTACGCTCGCATTACACAAATGTGTTGCTGGTCTAAGGCGTTCCTCGCACAGCATTGCCGCTTTATTATTTCAGTCGTTTACTGCCTTACGCACCCTGAAAGTCGTGTGTGTCTGCAGCAAGCGCGTGTATGTGTACCTATGGACGCGCGCGCGTGTGTTGTGTAGGGGGAACGGTAGTGTAGTGCTTAGCGTGCTGTCTGTGTCAGCCTCAAACGAGTAACTGGTGTGGCGTATTAACATCGGCACTTGGGAGACAAAGGCGGCCGGGCGTGGTGGATCCAAGTCCCGGGCGAAGCCGGGTAGTACAGCTAGTATTTATATATTTTGGCAAAACTGGCCTCAGTCCAGACCGGTTCACAAATCAGTCGAACACTTTTTTTTCATTGGTCAAGCAAGAAAGTGGCACCATCTGAAGTGACCAGTGAGGATACTGAAAATGAACTTTGAGGGTTTTTTTTAAATCCTCTTTACAGAATCGGAAGTTGATTTCCCTGAGTGAAGCCCATTGAGCTAAGAAGCTGTTTTTTTCAAAGGTGACTCGGTTGGCAGACAACGTAAAACGATTCCACAATTACAGATTAATGAAACTTAATAATAGTAATTACAGTACGTAGTGACATTACTAAAACTAAAAGCAATTTTTTTTATTTTATCAGGTAAGACCCACTGAGCTATGTATAGCTCTTTTTCAGAAGCGACCTGGCCACAAATGATTGCTCAACAAAGTGGCTTGTCACGTGGGAATTTTATAGCCACCAAATAATCTCAACAGGCGTTCATCCATGTGGTGAATGGGATTTGCTGAAGTTATCTTTTACGTTTTTGGTCATCTGAATTTGTTTTAAGTATAAGTTTCAGCAGGCCCCACGGTGTTGTATAGTCTGCAATTATTATTATTATTTTCCACTATCTCTCTGAGATATGAAGACGAGCCATTGCCCGTAACGTCACCACCGACTCTATACATATTTGAAGACTACAGTGGTTTTTGACGAATGTGCGGATTTTTTTTTTAAAAGTATTTTTGAGCTAATTGTGCAATCGCATTGCTCTATCCGATGACTCGGTGTTGACCTTGGCGTTCCCACCATCTGGTGCCTGCCTCATGGCGACCCGCCCGTCTGCAAGGTTGAGTCGTCGTCATCAAGCCAAAAGAGTTCTGTGGCCAATAGTCTCTACGCCCGTTCAGCGTGGTGCGTGCCTGGAAGTTGAAGAATGCGCACACAGTTGGTGTGTAAGTCAAGGCCGTAGCCATGGAGTCAACATTGGGGGGGGGGGGGGGCAAATCTTCCAGGGGGTCTGGGCCCCCCCCCCCCAGAAAAAAAAAATCTAAATTTGAAAACGAATTTTCTGCCATTTCCTGCCTAAAATATTAAAAAATTCACTGACATATAGGATGGACTTTTTTATTTATTTCTTACAATAATGTCTAATAGTGTATTGTATTACATTGCTCTGTTTTTTTCTTTTTTTTACCGTTTGTTGTTTCATTGTATGTAATGGCAGAGATTAGGGATTAATAAACTACAACCATAACCACAATCATATAAACAGAAATCTATTTTATAGCAACATATTGGGGGGGACATTTTGCGCATATTTGAATCTGGGGAGGGATGTGTTCCCCATAATATATATTATAATTACGGCCTTGGTATAAGTTAATGTACAAGCCCCCCTCCCCCCAACCTTGTCAATCCACTGCTGGATGAGGGCCTCCCCATCTCCCATGCTGGTCCTGGGAATTATTTGAAATCCTACTGCACCACGCGGGGTCAGTGCGGATTGGTCCAGTCGCGAATCGTGGATGTGGGAGCACAGACGTTTGCACTTTAGAGGACAGAAATTGATGTTGCTGCACTGGGACTCCTGCTGCAAACAAAGCCGCTCCGCAGCAGCCTATAGCGTCGCGGTCGCCTGCTCAAGCGCGACGCGGGCCCAACCCTCCTTTGCAGCAGCCATGATCTTGCGAGATCAGCCATGATTTTGCGAGATCAGCCGTGATCTGACGAGATCGGGCGCGTTTTGGGTCATTCGGTCACCGGCCTGCCGTGCAATCCCTACTTGAGGATGTTAAAATATATTTTTTATTGTTAAAACTTGCGGTGACCTTGCTTGTTTAAGTAGGGAGATGCTGACTTAAAAATATATATTTTCATTAGAACTCAACGTGAGCCCGATATGAAGCGGGTGATCACCGAACAAAGGGTGGGGGGGGGGGGGTAGAGTGGGTAGAGGGGGGAACAGAAAGTCCGCGAACATCAGCCCCCAAGTTCGACGCGACAGGGCCCTAATGAAGGGGGGGGGGGTGAAACTGGGGGGGGGGGATGCTTTACTTTTATAAACTAAAACCCGAATCATTCAGAAGCGCAATCTCCAGTGTTTTACTTTTCAGTCCAGTGTCACAAATGCTGTGCAGAGCAGTCTCTTGGTGTCGGGGTGGTGCGGGGTTGGAGGGACCTCCCCCGCCCCTCCTGTCTTCCCCGCCCCCCTCCCTTCTTGCTGGAGGCTCCCTTCTAAATTCCCCAAAGCATTGAAAGCGATGGGCGTCGCAAGCCATTCCT